CATGTTAATGGAAGGTGTGAATGGACATATTTAGCGCTGTCCACGTGTGATCGGACCACCCAGGACGCATGTTAATACCAGGTGTGAATGGACATATTTAGCGCTGTCCACGTGTGATCGGACCACCCAGGACGCATGTTAATACCAGGTGTGAATGGACATATTTAGCGCTGTCCACGTGTGATCGGACCACCCAGGACGCATGTTAATACCAGGTATGAACAGGGTCTTTCAATTACAGGACCGTTAAATAATATCATTGAAGGTAAACAAAAACAGCAATTTAGCTGATTTCAGCAACACTCTTTTTTTAGTTTTCCTTGTTGTTTTCAGTCTGGGACCCGGCAAAATTATTCAGATATAACTTAGAAAGCTCATATGAACAGTTCACAGACTCCTACAAACAGCTGGTGTGAAAACACAAAATGTCAAATCACTTTGTGGAAAAATCTTGAATTTCTGCAGGCTGATTCCTTGACAGGCTCAACTATAAAAAAAATCCCACTGGAGCAGAATGATCTGTATGTAGATTTGTCCCAGAAGGATCTGAATAATAAATGCCTTCTAGACCTTAACTAAAGTGCCTACAATAAATCTGTATACATTAGACAATGATAACCTGAAGCCTTCAGAAAAATATAATACGAAGATAAACTGAGTCTTAATTGGGTGCATTTCCTAAAAGCATAGCAACTAACATACAACTGAATGGTTCCAACTATGTACATCGCTAACTAGAGCTTCTGGGAAACATACCCCTGGTAAGCTGACTAACAAACAGGACTGCTCTGGTTTTGCCAGATAAGGGCAATCATGAGCTTCAGGGAAAGCGCATACATGAGAACTGCATGATCCGCATCCAGGAGAGTGTTAAACAAGGCAAACTGAGCAGTAAGGAGAGCTTTTCCTACAATCTCATGAATCAGAGCCTAAGATCTAGGTCAGTATAACAACAGGGAGAGATTCTCACAGGCTTTACAGAAGGAAAAAGAGAAAGTTTATTTTCAGAGGACCATATTAAAACCTGTCAAGGTTGGAAACACAGGGTGTCAGAATGATGTTAGATTTATAGCGTAAAGTGTTGAGCATAATCAATAACTCCCATGATGCATAATAGAAGTGTTACACTGTCATTGCATATGCTCACTGGCCAGCAATGACAACATGGTTCTCTATACTGATCCTCTCTCTTAGGTAGGGTTACATGATGAATTGGAAGTCAATATAAATGGCATTACAATGACTTTGCTGAATGGGTTGAAAAATCTTTTCAAACATGGTCAAGAATCTCAAAGCCCCCCCGAGGTGGTTTCAGTTTCAAGTCTCGGTTAACCGGGACATTATGGATACAAAGTGCCTCAGGTTCTCTTCACCTTTTGCCATCATATGGTACTGCACCAGGATGTAGGACGTCCGTAAAGAACGGAGATGGAACCATAGCTGCTGGTAACAATAATGTCAACAGAAAGAGGACTGAGGCCCCATCAGAACTGAAGTGGACCAAAGAGAACCGAGTCCTCTTTCAAATGAACTCACAATGTGAGCTTGCTGTCACTCCACATTCTGAACCACTAAGAGGACTGAGTTTAAATCCTTTAAATAGGACTATATGTGAAAATACCCTAAGGGTGCCCAGCCCTTCTCATTGAGACCCACCACCCTGCAGATCTTAGCTGCAGCCCTAATTTAACACACCTGATACAGATAATCAGGCCCTCAGTAACATGTTTGTAATAGAGGCAGCATATCTTCAACAGCGCTAACTCTAATACTGAGATGCTACTGTAGGGCCATGTTATTTGTTTATATTATTATTATTATTAGAGTAAACTAATTTAAACATAATATTTTGGTACCACTGAGCACTGGTCTTGTATGAAAACAATCAAATCCAACTGTTTGTTAATAAATGTTTCATTTGTATTGCGTTTTTGGTTTTCTGAATATCAGACATGTCTCCGTTGAGGTTTAGTAAAGTGTGTAAATTCCATAGCAAATGTATTATATTACTCACTGTCACAATTGTTTGCAGAATATTTTAATAAATTTTTTCATTCATTTGTGCAATAAATAGGGTAACAGGAAAATATCAATTGGCATTTTGACAACCTAAATATTCCTGCTTCAGTTATACAAACATGTAATAATAATAACCACTTGATTAACTCCTGTGGGGAAACTGTCTCTTTTACGGCTCCCTCAGCTTGCTCCTCGTAAGCAAGCTGTCCGCAAACAAAAAGGTTACTTATTTAACTTACAAAAGTATATAACATTTTAAAAGTACATCGTACAGACTTGATGATGTGCAATCAACTTAATTACACGTAAAAGTCATCCTGAAATAGACTGTGCAGTCAACCTAAAAAAAATTAAAAGTTATTACTTGAAGTTCAGGCACAAGTCCAGGGCTAGACAGTGGTACACTTTGCCTTCACAGTATTAAACGCAGCCCAGAGACTCGAGCATCACCTACCTAATCACACAGCAAGCAAAATCCAATCTCTGACTGCTTAATGCAGGCTGGTTATGGTATCACGATTAATATATATATATATATATATATATATATATATATCTCCTTGCACTATAATGGTGAGATGGATACTAGGGTCTTTTGTGCAGATACACGTGACACTAATTCTAACATTTAATTAAGATAACAAACCAATAATTATCTATATCTGCTAATGCCTGAGCCTGTAACTATTAATTTCTGCTGTACTTTTCCCACCAGAAGTATGTGTACCGCCTCTCTACCATAGAAGGTATATTCTCAGCAGACTTCATTATGAATCTAATACTGCACATTCAAAGATAATGATACATCACCAAAACTCTACAGCCCGGAGTATTAAACTCTACAGCCCGGAGTATTTACCCTTTACCTGTATATATACCTTTACAATAACTGCAAAATACAAACATGCTATAAATTATTAAGTTAGTTCTATTAAATCATAGTTTAAGTTTAATAAAAACATCGCTGCAATATTTGTGAATGAGGGGATTTGCGGGCTGGAAAACATGGCAAACAATAACAGAAGAGTGGTTCAAGATCACAGCCATTTTAGGCATTTAATTGCAATTCTCATCCAAACCTGGTGCTAATGGAACCTGAAGTCCATTTACATCTAAAAACACTTTTACGTATCCACTCACTGGCTTTTAGTTAAGAATTTTAACCTTTAATCTGAATTACTCGCAAGAAAGGACCACCGAAGTAGACATTTTCATAAACACCCACTTCAGTATGCCAATTTTGTGTTTTTAGTATGTATTTCAGTATGCATTTTTTACAGTCTGCAAATCTACTGACATTTCATTTCTTTTCTTTCCGTTTAACTGTTGCCTTCCTATTTAAAAATAAAAACTGTCAGCCTGCATCTGCAATATACAATGAAAACAGAATGAATACTGCAACTGAGAAAAAAAGAAAACACATTAAAGTATGAGTAAAAGTTAGAACATATGCAAGTATAAATAAACAATGACATGATGAAATGGCATTACGATTAATACCAAAAGCAGTGGTACAAACACACTCTGGCATATGCTTACACAATCTACTGCCATTCACCTAGTCTACTAAACGTGGCATACTGCATGAAAACAGAGGGATGAAAAAGTATGGAGGAAGGAGAGTTAAACGGATAAAAAGTTGTCCGAGTACTTCTGAGCTTTTATGTACACAACAATCAAGGATCTTCAGGAGATGCCCATCTCATTATTAAATACCACAGAGGAGTGCATTTCGGTGCTGCAATCTCTCCTTTGGTAGAAGCACATATGTCGCTCCCTAATACTTATCTGCTCGTGCAGAGTTTAGGTGCCAAATGCAATTCTTGAGGATGGCACTAGGCGAGAATTCTCCAATTAGCATTTTAAATTAGCACATCGAATCAGGAAACTGACCTCAGTGCTCTAATGCCCCCAGTACCCTGCCACAAAGGGCCAGGTAAGTAGAGTTTAGCAAAAACAGCACACATGCTTTACTCATCCTCACTAAGATCATTTGACTGAAACCCCCTACAACTTAACGGTGAGCAAAACACCAAATAACTAGTCAATCAGTCCCCGAACGGGTAAAGGATTCATACAGAAGTTGTTGCTGCTCATAAGATAAGTGGCTTGGGACTCTGTCATTCAATTTACATTTAGGAAGAAAAATAAATCATGCAAGGAACTGTGCAGTGCTTGGATAAAGAATGTATTTAAGGGTTAGGGGTCTTCTTTACATTCCTGACCCCAAATTAGTGCTGTGAAGAAATTCATAAATTAACATGAATTAACATTAAGCCCCAATTCATACAACAATCACAGACATACATAATCCCATCATAAACTGCAGAAAAAATGACTGTCAATTTAAAATTTTTATATCTGTTTATCTATGTCCATGTACTTTAAAAATTATTTATCTGGTGTACCATGTCAGATATCTGTATAAATAAAGTTTTTTGTTCATTCTGATTTCTGCACCATAATCTGGTGAGAAAGAGCAGGCGACACGAGGATTATGGGAATCCCATTCATCGCCTTCCCTAGTTTGCTTCTATCTCTTTTCACTGTCAGAGATCCTGCTGTCACCCTCAGCTTCCAAAATTACTGGGATATTAGTGCTACCATTGTAGGCAAGGCTGATTCAGGTATCCATGCTGACTAAAACTTTTACACAGTGTGATGCATTCATTTAGCAAGCGTGTATCTTGAGCGAGCGTAGTGACTGAGACTGAAGCGTACAGATCTGCCAACTGGGCCAGAAACAAAGTGGAATAGCTCTAGATGACACTGGAACATCAAGGAAAATGAGGTACAGCACAGCTAATGGATGAAAGGCAGCTGAGCTAAAGTTATATCTGAAAGACAAAGACCCCAGACCAAATGATACCATGTCCCTGTCTCTGCACTGCTACAATTAAATGGAGAGCCCCACTAAAACCTCTGATGGAGCACTATGTTACTGGTAGAGAGGAAATAGAAAGAAAGCAACAATTACTTACCATCAAGTATTTGATTTTGGAAGTTAACTGGTTTGTCTGAAAAAAGAAAACATAAAACAGCATATTACTTCACAGACACTGCATCACATTCAGCTCAATATTTACCAATATGATTCAACACAAACTTGTGAAAATTCCAGATATTCACTTTTAGCTCTCCAATGGGAGGAATCAGCTACTGCAACGGGTTTTAAAGCCTGAACCAAACCACTTGCATCGCAATATGGAAAATGGTTACGGTTAGGTATTGGTGATACAAAACTTACACATAATTCAGAATGTGTCCACAAACAAATTTTTGTGATGGAAATTAAATAGGAATAAAACGTTTCCTCCATTCATCTTCCAACCACCTGTCCTGGTCAAGGTCACAGCAGGTCTGGAGGCTACCCAAGGTAGCATAGGGCCCATGGCTGGGGGAGGGGCACCCTGGACAGAACGCCAGTCTGTCACCAAGTCCACACACAGGCCCACATTTACATTAATACACTATGGACAACTCTGAGAAGCTGACTAGCCAAACTACACATCTTTGAAGTGCAGGAGGCAACCTAAAGGACACATGCACAACAGAGGTAGAACATGGACATACACAGTCTAAGAAGGGTTCCAACCTCCAACCCAGAATGCAACAGTGCTTTTCATATCAGAATGTGCTAAAAGGACACATCACTGAACCAATCTGCCCCAACCCACTCACTCAGAAAATGTAAAGGTACCCTAATGCATGACCATAATCCACCCAGTGACACCGACTGACTTTAAAATGCTGCCTTGATTGAGGTGACAAACAGCTAGGAGCGGCAGGGTACTGTCACAGCCGGGGCACCTCAGCTCCGAATCGCTCAGCACCTACACTGACTCATGACCTACTTACCAATAACACTGCCTGGGAGCGTCTTGTTTGGAAAAAGAAAAAAAAACATGCAAAATTTGTGTTTTAATGCCCTTTATTCGATAACTTCTAGACTGTTATCTCCATGGCCTATAGCACAGCATTCAGTGCATGCAAGAAACAAATGCCTTCTGCTTCAACTTTGCTGTAACAAAAACGAACTCTTTCTCTATCAGCAAGTGAATCTTAAAAGCCATGTGCGAGAGTAATGTCTAGATGGAAAAGACATTATGAAACAAGGCGAAGACACAAATTCACAAAAAATCTACCACCTGTCAGCATTAAAAAATCAGACCAATAATGTCGGTGGAACTCCACTCAAAAAAGGCACAAGCATCCTGGTTCTGCATTTGTGTGATAAAAGTAATTAATGACCTTCCATTTGAATTTAGATGCAACAGCATTAAAGTAGCTAAGTGCATTTAACGGAGGCTTTCTTGGACAGCATAATGGCCTTTTCACTGTGGTGGTGATCACCTAATACAGCAACATCTAAATGGACCACAGACTCCGAGGTAATCCGAGGAAGTTTCATGTTGTGTCACTTGCCTCATGAGGACATGAGAGCAGTCGATGACAGACAAATTATTAACATACGGTTATGAGACCCGTTGCTTTTAGAGGAAAATACACAGTACAGTTTTTTCCACACTTTCACAGTTATGCTTCTGTTATACGTAAGCAAACTGAACACACAGTCGTATCACTCATACAGTGGTTGACGCCAATATCATGCCGTATCTACGGTAGAAATGACAAAAGGTCTATTCTTCAGACTTCTGCTTTGTCCAAGTCAGTCAAAGCCTAATAAAAGTTCAGGGGTCACATCTATCCCATCTAATCGGACTTTTACATTGTTGATAACAGACCGTAAATCTCACACTTACTCAGTCACTCATTTACACGTAATAATATACATTCCCTTGCAAAAACTAATACTGACACACAAGCAGTCTGCCCAACCCTATCATTAACCGTAAGTAATCAAACAAAATACATGATTTGTGGGATTTTTAGTTTTTTGATTAGAGTGACAGAAAATGTTCCCGTAAGGTAAAAAATTATAGGTTTTTATCACATTGTGGGGCAATCTGGTCCCAGCAACGTAATAATTACAAAAACACAGACACACACACAGACAGACACAGACAGACACAGACACACACACAGACACAGACACAGACGGACACAGACATACACAGACACACACACAGACAGACACACAGACAGACACACACACACAGACACACACACAGACAGACACACACACACANCACACACACACAGACACACACAGACACACAGACAGACAGACACAGACAGACAGACACACACACACACACACAGACACACAGACAGACACACACACACAAACAGACACACACACACAGACAGACACAAACACACAAACAGACACACACACACAGACAGACACAAACACACAGACACACACACAGACAGACACAGACACACACACAGACAGACACAGACACACACAGACACAGACACCTACAGTTGTTCAGAAAGAGAAGCACAGCAAAGCCGAGCGTGGAAGTTGCCAGCAGAATCAGGCAGATGTTGCAGGGGATCATGAAGTAGCGAACCACCAGTGACACTTTGTGCTGATACATCCTGTCCCGCTCAGGAAGGGGGACGGAGTATTGGCAACGGCTCATCCTGAACCCCAAACCCTGGCTGGGGAGGGAGAGACCAGGAAACACGATACCAGGAATAGAGGTGGACAACAAGAAAGGTCCAAACTAAGTGCTTTTCAACAGATGTTCAGATGTTCCAGTTTCCAAGCAAAATGGTCCCTTCAGTAATAGCATCCATGATGGGAGAGGACGGGGGGGTCCCCACTACCTCTGACAGCATGTCCCCACCCCCATTGCAGTGATGCAGGAGTGGCGATAGTCACCCCAGTGGCCAGGTGCACTCTCGCAGTTACTTGCAGCTACCTGGCCAACAGTATCAGCACTCTGGTGAGCCCTGGTGTCTGACACGAGAGCTCGGTGTTCCCAGTAAAACTGTAAAACCCCAGGAAACAGTAAACCAGGAACCAGGAGTGCTTAGATTATAGAAAACAGGAACGCCGAATGGAGAAGTGCTGGTTATGAGTGACTGAAAAGACAGCTGAAATGAGAGCCATGGAGTCTTCCCCCATCTACAGGTCACCAGTGCCAATCCAAGCGGCCTTTAACCCCTTGTGCTAGTTCTTGGTGGAGTCCTTGCAGTGTAACATCCTGGTACCTCGCACAGGATATCCAAAAATGTGGGGAAGACTGGTTCTGCTCATCCAGCTCAATAAGTCCTGCTCCAGGTTCTTCAAGCCAGGAAAAAAAATTATGATATCCCCTCCAATGGATTAGGATTGATGATGAGTGATTAGCAGATGGACATGAAGCAGCTGCCAGAAACTCCCTCAAACCGAAAATGAAATCCCTCCACTCGTCTGCTGCACTCCTAGACACCCAGTCCCTCCCCCTACAAGGGGGCAGGGTCCCTGCAAGCTGGAGGGACAGATGACTGGCCCCGTCTGTGCAGGCGATGATCAGCAGCAAAATCAAACCAAACTGGGGCAAAAGAAAAGACCAAGCTTTACGCAGCATAAAAAAATACCCAGTCCAAATATTGTTTTGTCCTCTGTACCTGGTCAACGTCTGCTGACAAACTCACTCAGGAAAGGGCAATAGCTTCTCTTTGTCCCCAAAAAGAAGAGATTTGATTGTTTTTCTTTCGGAGTAAGAAAAAACGGGTTCGTTCAGCCCTTCCTTCAGTGGGGATTTTCTGGGGCCACCTTCTGAGTGTCACTGCCCATCCTGCCTGGCCTCAGTGGACCTGCTTGCTTTCTAGCCCCCGGTACTGTTGCCTGATGTGAATGCGCTGCTCCTCACTCAGCCGGCTAGAGGCTGTGTGTGTGTGTGACACGCAGTGAGAGAGGGAGGCAGAGCCTGAGAGAGAGAGAGAAGCTCAGAAGCCGGATCCTTATACTCTGGCAGAGAAGGAGAGTCACTGCCTTTGCTACACTGCCGATTCAAAACTGCTGCACATTTCAACCGGCAAAGACAGCGACGAGTGCATGTGAGGGGCTGACTCCGGCAAAAAGCAGGAGGGGGCAGGCATGAAAAACAGGAAGTGAGAGAATGAGCATCTGGGAATACTTCTTTAGGGGGTTAGGGGAAGCAACTGAATGAGCACAAAGGAAAGATCGCACCAGAAGACATCGAGACTCTTCTTAATGTTTTCCAGCAACAGAACATTTGCTGTGAATTTATTGCAACTAACTGGTTTGATTTGCAAGCCTCAGATTTCATTATTAGAGGAAAAAAAGACAGAATGACAAGTCGTCAGATGATTTTAGTCTCACTGTAAGTATGAACTCCCCTGTCTGCTCTGAAACACATTTTTTCAGTCTTCTTCCCACACCTCAGTTTTTAAGCCAATATTGTGACAAACTAAAGCTTATTCAGAGCCTCAAAGACACCCCTCAACTTACACCTCTCAATTCTTCTCTTTTTTGTTTGATAAACTGCCACACAATCTCTATCTTCGTTAAAAACAGAAAAAGACTATGAATATTCAGTAAAATTGATCAGTTGGTCAGGATGGGATGCTTCATAAGGAAGTTAACGTTGTGACAGGGCTTCACTTTCCGTGGGATTCTTTTAAGACATCGTTACATGAGCATGCAGACATACACCCACGCTATGCTTATCTACAGCAGCCTTGGACAACTGCAGCATTATCATGCATGTCGTATGTTTTAAAAATGGCCAATAATAATAATAATAATAAAGAGAAAAAGAGAATTAATGGCTTGAGAGAAAAATTAAAAAGCAAAAACCATGTTACCTATTATATTATAACAAGTCAAAATCTTTTGCATCATGAATCACCTATAGAAATATACAGTACATCACTCAACCTGATCCCTGTTCACTTGCTCCTTAATCTGTAAATCACAGTCTAGTGGAACAAATTCGTTAGAAAAATGTGTGATTTCGTAAAGCAGCTGAAAACTCTAACTAGCCAAACAAGCTTCACTTTTCTGCATATTACATTCCAATAAAAGTCATCAACGTACCTAGACACATTTTGATTAGACTACATCTATTTTCACAGTCCGCTCAACTAATTAAAGCCAATTGGAGAAGCTGGCACCAAGTTCATGAAAGACAATTATGATAATAATTCACTAAATTAAAAGCACAAAATATTTAATTATTTAGTAGACACATTTATCCAATTCAATTCAATGCAATTTATTTTTATATAGCACCTTTCACAACTGTGTTGCCCCAAGGAACACGAATGTGTTGTGACAATCCTGCATAATTTATACAGAATGATTCAAAAACTGGAAAAAGGGAAGATCTTGAAATGAAATGAGATGAAATGAAAGAAAGAAAGGTAGAAGCAACAGAGAAGATGAACCAAAAACTCCTGAGTTGGAAGGGGAAAAAAAACTTGGGGATCCAAGGTTAACTGGCTGCCCAAACCGCCGGGGCATGATAACATTACAGAACAAGAAAGACTGGGCTTGTTATCTAAAAGTAAACTGCAAACTGCAGTCAAGATCCAATGAGATGTTTGAATGAGAAATCAGTGTCAGCCAGTCCCTGGAGCAAATGATGTTAAGGGCCGTGCTCAAGGGCCCAGAAATGAAACCACTTTGGGGGCCACAGGAGTTGAACCAGCGACCCTCTGATCTTGAACCCAACCTGCAGAGCCTCCCTCACACTGGAACCCGGCTGCATGGCACCAGCAGTCCTGGGTTCGATCTTAGGGTAGAAAGCAGCACACTCAGTATAGGAATCAGAGAAGAGTGAACTGGTGAACTCACTACAAATAAACTGGCAATGGTGATATCTTAGGCACTGGTAATACCTTGCCCACATGAAGTGCTCCTACCAGCCATAGTCTGCTTGCGGGAATAGCACGGAGTCATCTGTCTCAAGCCTAACTGTAGCCAGATAGGTCTGGGGAGTGACCATCTTGCTAGCCCAGCACAGCCTAGAATATCCTGGAAAAGCCCAAAGGTTTGGCACAGTAAGGAAACTCCATCCCCCAGTAAGGGTGGGCAAGGGGGAACTGGATGATATCCCAGCTGGCTGGATCAAAGGCCATGAACAGCCATGCCCAACTGGGCCAGGCTGGCGTCGAGCGTTAATGGAGAGGAACTAACCATCAGCCACTCACTTAAGGGTTTTCTTTCCTTTTCATCACACTAACAACATCGATATGCGTATTTAATACCTTCCATGCTCTGCTGGTCTGTGCTGTCAGGTCCTTTTTTTTATATCTTCGTTTCCCTGCAGACATTAGACAGAAACACTGTGGAGGGAGATTAGGGGGGGCTGAGCAGCAGAGAGCGGCTGGACTTATCCTGCCTTCAAGTCATGTTGGAAAATTGTAAATATGAGATGAGAGCACAAGAACACCACTACAAAGTCTAATTAGCCGGTGCGGGTGAGTCATCACAACAATCAACAAGAACACCACTATAAAGTCGAATTAGCCGGTGCGGGCGAGTCATCACAACAATCAACAAGAACACCACTACAAAGTCGAATTAGCCGGGCGAGTCATCACAACAATCAACAAGAACACCACTACAAAGTCGAATTAGCCGGGCGAGTCATCACAACAATCAACAAGAACACCACTACAAAGTCGAATTAGCCGGTGCGGGCGAGTCATCACAACAATCATGGCAGAGGCAATGCACAGCTCCACTATGAAAGACATATTTTTTTGAAAGCGGCAAATTTTATGAATCGTGTCATTGCAAAACTCCTTGTTTTGAATGTTTTGTAGATTGTTATTTAATGGTGTACCACAAAAAATATAGGTTTTTGTCTCAATATTTGATATATAGTTGGTGAGATACCTGCTGCTTGAGTAAGGGATTCTGAAAAGTTCAATTAACACTAATTACAAATGCATTGTGGCATTGAGGAATGAAAAATGCAGCACAAAAAGCAGCTTTCTTATTGCCTCCATTTTTGTCCGATGTAAGCCCTTGAACACACGTCATATTGTAATTACGATTCCCCAGCTACCTAGTCGGATCTTCCGAGTAGGACTAGAAGGCAGCATTAAATGCAGGAAAGAAGGCAGAAGACAGTCAAAGGGCAGGGCCTCAAGCTATTCCTCTCTAAGAACCGTCCTACCTCTCTACACAAAATGACGATACAAAAACCTCTGTAAATCAGAAGAGATGCTGCCACAATGACAACAATGACTTAATCAGACTACTGTTCTTGTCCCAGTATACATGCACAGCAGGGTAATCGATTTATTGACCAAAGTATGTCCGACTCCGCTACAATAGGTGGCGATATGGCTCTTTTCAGCTTGTCAGTATTGGACGTTTTGCAGTTGACCTATTACGTCACAGACAAAAAAAATAAAATAAAATAAGTAATAATGGATGCATGGACAAATGAAGTGACACAAGCTTTAATTGCGATCTGGTTGGAAGAACAGATACAACAAGATCAGGATAGCATAACAAGAAATAAAGTATTATTTTGTATAATATACTATGACAGCATGGTATTGGAAAATGTTCAAATATTGCAATGCAATTTTGTTATAATAAATATTAGGGTATTTATGAAACAAAAGAGGAGTTCAACATAAATTTAACCCTTCTATCAGTGATTTAAATAGCAAGGATGAAAGTGATCTTGATTGTTCCAGAGTACGCATGCAGCACTTATGCAAAAGCAGTGGAGGAAAACTTTAAACTGATTTTTAAACATAGATAATCTTCAAAAGGAATCATCATTAAATTTGCAAAACTTGCTAGGTCTTTTTGTCCTATGACAGAGTGAAAATGTTTTAGCGAGACTTAAACTCCCTGCGCTATAATATCCATAACAAATTGACGGGTAAGAAAAAGCCTGATCGTAATCTAGCTGACTACTGATGTAAGAATTGGACGTGCATAACTTGCAATGTTGGTATTAATATCACACGTTGTCCAGTCCTACTACAGCCATTTTTCAACTTTCAGTACAAAATACGCCGCCTCACATTGTGATGTCATTCGGCATCGGTACCAGTTCTTACGGCAGGGTAAAACCAATACCTTGAAGTACAGTACTTTTGGTACCTTCTTGAACCATGGAACAAGAGACTAGGGGGGAATGCGTGAGGGTAATCACAATCAAACACTAGGGACTAGTGCTATACTGGAGACACAGGGAACACAGCTGGATAACCAGAACCAGAAACAAGGAGTTACGTGTAAATAACATGAATGTGAGATAAGGGGGAAAAAAACAAAAAACTCAAAATGTCCAACAAAGTTGTCAAACAAAACCCACAATGGTAGGGGAGTTACTCAGTTCTCTAGCGCACGCTCAGCCCATTCAGACACACGGGGAGCAGGGGAACACCCTAGGACCTGTGAAGCATGCAGGAGCAGGGGAACACCCTAGGACCTGTGAAGCATGCAGGACCAGGGGAACACCCTAGGACCTGTGAAGCATGCAGGACCAGGGGAACACCCTAGGACCTGTGAAGCATGCAGGAGCAGGGGAACACAAAATGGAATGGCCAGCGACACAAGCTCGCCGAGGGAGACAGACACGGCAGGGAAGGATCCTGACAGCTGCCATCAGGCGGAAGGTGCAGGACCATTGGAGCTCATACTCCCAGACTTTGGAACAGCTTATTCCTCAGTGTAGCAACCAGACTTCACACTTACACACATAAACTCCATACACCACACCACCATATACTATTTATCACATTTGTACTTTTGCACATATTTATTGGCTATTTTGCACATATTGTTCACATAACATGTCTTATCCTTTTGTTCGCACTGCTCAATGAATTGCTAAATCTCTTTATGCTGATGAGTATAGTGACA